GTATTATAACACTGCAAGAATGAATTACGTAGTAAATTTTTTCACAATTATAATCCTTAGGAATTTTTTTCATTGTTAATGCTTGTTTTCTTATCACTATTAAATAATCGTCGGAAACTACTTTTTTTGTTTAAAATCTATTTTTATTAAAATATTGTGAAATCCTCCTTGCTTCTGAAACTTTTAAATAAATATGTATTTTAGAGCAATAAAGATTTACTGCTTTATCAAAAATATTTAACACTTATTATTTATAAAAGAAGAATATGTTAAACTTGTAAAAAAAAAGGATTATATAATGCCTACTCGTCATTTTACTTCAGCTTTCAATTAAACTGAGCAAAAAATAAGGCATATAATTCCTTTATATCAAAACTATTCAGTTGAGTCATTAAAACTATTTAGTCTAATACACACACACACACACACACACAATCTTTAGATTTAGTAAAATGTTTTATAATTCTTATATTTCGAAGATATTGCATGGCAGTAATTACCGCATTCATCATACAAATGTATACAAGAAGCTTTAAGCGATTTGTACATTTGTATATTAGACAAGTAAAAATTAAGAGATACACTATTTGTTATAATTATTAATAAATTCCAACAATTTTTAAAATTATTTCCAACTATTTTTTATTTCTTAACAGAATAAAATGTAGAAGTCATTTATGAAACAAAGTATGTAAAGCCATTTACATTAAGATATTATAAGATATGACTAACCACAAAGATAAAAAATAAAATAAATATATATAGAAATATAAACCTACATTTATCAGATGTTATCCGTAACAGATTACAAAAAATGTTATTTTTTTTAATTATAAAACCTTTGAACTACTTCGATTACACTTTTGTCAAGACAAAATGATCTTTAATTATTCAAGCAATTTAAAAACAAAAGAAAAATATATGATATACCTAATAAGTTCTAATAACTTATTATTTATTAGTAAATTTGGTTTGGAACCATTGGTTTGATTGAAACTATTTTGAGGAGCGTCGCGAAAAAAATTCGAAAAAAAATTTTTCTTCAAGAGTAAAGATGGACACCACCCTTTAATATATATTTATATATATATATATACTATACACACGTACATTATACACACAAATATTATATGTATAAAACACTACTTTTTAGCAAAAGTAATAAAATCATAGTTACGTCAATTTTGTAACTAGAAAAAGAATTTATAAATCTTACAATATCTTAAAATCTTACAGTATCTTTAACTGCCTCTTTATCTAATAATTTAATTAATTTAGTTTTATTTTAATTAAATTATTTCACATTATCCTTCATTACATAAATAATATAATTATTTTTGAAATGTATTTTATGTTTAACATATAATTTAACTATTTATCGAAAGTGTATTTGCAATTCAAGTTTTGTTTGATAATTTGATGAAATTTTTGTTGAGAAACATAATACATTATCGTAATGAGCAGATTCACACTTTTTTACTACTCAATTTTCTATTTCATTTTTATTGTTGCTCAAGTATCATTTTAAAATAATTTCATATAATATTATATATATCTACTGTGACGTACTAATTAATTTTTTAGACTTACAAGAAAATTTCAATTAAAATTCTAAAATTTTGTAAATATAATTAGTTAGATTATTACTTATTAAAGTAATACTATTGTTTTTGCATGATAACATGATTTTTTAACGTGAGCTTTCTTTATTATATATAGTTTTCATTACGATATTAGTGCTTCTGAAATGCGTACAGTGCAATTTAATAATATTTGATGTGTAAAATTTATGTAACAATGAAGTTCAATTTATTACAAATTTAAATATTATTATTTTCAAATATCATTATAAATTATGATAGGAAAATATATATAAATAACCATATACTTTCGATCGCATATACACATATACAGATGTTTTTGTACTAAAAATTACGATAAAGATCACATTAAAAAGATCAAGATTATTACATATAAAAATTGTTATTTCATTAACCGATGGAAACTTAAAAAAAAATATCAATGTTGTGACAGAAATGTCAAGTATATAACTAAATAGAATAATTTGTATTTTATGTAATATCGATGCTTACTGGTTTGCACAATACCCACTTTAGATGTGTTAAATGATAATATGTATAATAGAAATTACTTTATTACATGTCTTTATTTTCTAGAAGGTCATAAATAATGATCGAAAAACGTCGTTGTTACTTCATAGCTGACAAATGGCCTTTCAGTCATGACTTGCTATTCGATGCAGCAACTATCTGTACTTTTAAATTAAATTAATTAGTTCTGAGTCCATAAACAGACTAAACTAGTGCATACCAATTTATATATTTGTGGTGGAAAGTTCGAAATTGAAAATTGCACTTAGAAAAGGAGCTTTTGCAATAAGGCTAAAGTGCATAAACAATGATAAAGTAATTAATTAATTTAAATAATAACCATTACTAATTTATTAGATTGTTCTTTCATGACAATTTGTTAATTGCATTTAATTTATCGCAGAAATTTCAAAATCAATTCAAAGTCCAAAACGAAAAGAAAAAGATCGAGGTTGTTCCATGCTATGGATTTTCAATCCTTGATGTATCCCAATTTTACTTTAAGTAAAATTCTAGGAATATTTCCATACAGGATTAAGGCTTCGTCTTTTGAAATTTCTAAACCGCGTTATATTCTGTGGACTATTACTATCTGCGTAATTTGTGTTTATAAGTTGATAGTGTTGTATAAATTTAATCTCTCTGAGAAAAACAAGACTGACATACCCAAATTTATTTCAATCAATTTCTCTATTATATATGAAATATTTTTGACAGTCAGCTCTTATATCTTGAGCGGTCCGCAAATGCGGTTACTTCGAACTGTATCAGATATTTCTTCGAAACTGCCTCAGCAGTCATATCAGAAAATGTCCAAACTAATACACGCTAAGGACATTTTCGGTTTTTTCTTTCATTTCTGGTTAGCGTTCATGTATTTCGTATATTCTGGATTAAATTTCACACTTTTAGTTCAAGTGAACATACTGTATACCACCTTATTGGCGTTCCAAATCGATATGCTATACATAAATTGCGTTAGTGTCGTAAAAGCCTGTTTCAAGGAAATTGACGATAATATAGAGAATCTGCGGGAGCTCATGATGAACAATACTCCCACATGGATCCATCACCAGCAGAGATATCCGTTCTTGTTAATGAAACTTAAGGCTGTAAAGAAACAGCATTTAATGATCAGCGACACAGTGCAGATGCTAAACGTAATCTTTAGTCCGCAAATTCTCGCTACCATAGCCCAATGCTTCAAGCAGATAGTATTCTACTTGTATTTCAATGTAGTACATTGGCAAAATGGGATATCCTTGAATCAAGATAAGATTTACAGTGCAAATTTCATATCATTCCTGGCGCATTACATTATAAGATTAATGTTGATAGCGTGGGCTTGCGAAACCAGCAAGAACCAAGCAATAAAAATTTGCACTACCGTTCACGATGTGCTTAACAGCATCAGCGATATGCGAATTAAAGATGAGGTAGTAAAAAAATTTCACTTTAAAAGCTTTTTAACAAATATGTTGCGATATTTATATATCGGACCTTAATAATTTATATTTAACTGATTTATATTTATCATTTCGGTTCTATAATTTTCACATTTAATACCTTTTGATTTGTTGTTGCAGTTAAATTTGTTCTCATTGCAAATATTGCATTGCGATAATACATTCTCCGTGAAAGCTGTCACTGTAGATGCAACGTTGCTCACTGCGGTGAGTGATTAAAAATATTCCTTAATTAAGTATGTATTATTTATGTATTTCATGTTTTGCTTTTAGGTGATAAGTAGCGTTTGCACGTATCTATTAATCTTAATACAATTTTTGATAATGACACATTCTTGCGACAGCAAGACAGATACAATTAAATATACACAAGCAATTTAATTAATACAATGCGTTTGAGAATTTTGAATATTTTTGACCTTTATGCGTTGAATATCGTTATGAGTACAATTGCCAAAGTTTTTATTTTTAAAAAATCATATATCCATCCTATCTATGTATGCCAAATAAAAATCTTGCACCACGTGTATTAATAAATAAGATTTTAAGACTTTATTTGTTCAAATGTATCACACTAATATACAAATTAATAAAAACATGTTTCATATCAAATATATCATGCAATTTAACAGTTTACTTGTCTTTTCATTAAAAATAAAATATGTTAAATAGCTAATATTAATGAATCATCGGCTAATTTATATCTTATATGTTTCTCGTATCGATTAATCCTTAGAACCTTTTTGTCAAATCAATATTTATGAAAAATAGTACGAAAGATTTGTAACGTAAATTTAACACTTAAAATTGATTTAAACAATTTTTCTTTATTCATTATTCTTTAATTCTGTAAAAAAAATTTTGCAATCCGTGAAGCCAATTCGGAAATTTCTCCTAAAACGCAACTATAGTAAAACAGGACCCCTATAGGATCCCTTTAAATGAAGTAATTTTTATTTTGTTATATCAACGCCTTTCTGCCTTGCATATTATTCCAATTTAGATGCGCTAAATGATAATCCATATGTTAGAAATTATTTCATAACATGTCTTTATATTCTAAAAGGTCATAAATAGTAATCAAAAGACGTCGTTGTTACTTCACAGCTAAAAAATAACATTTTAGTCACTACTTGCCACTCGACGCAGCAACTATCGGCAGCTTTAAATTTAATTTAACGCAATCACAGCACATAAACAGATAAGACTGCAATGTGTATGCTTTTTCATATATATTTTTGGTGGACAGATCGAAATTGAAGACTACTCTTAAGAGTTTCTGGATTATATTAACGCTGCGAAGTGCATAGAAGTGATAAAGTACTTAATAAATTTAAGCAGCAAGCATTACTAATGTATGGATTGTCCTTCTCTCACGACAATTGGTTAATTATATTTAATTTTTCTTAAAAATTTCAAAGTCATGTCAAGGGCCAAGACAAAAGGAAGAAGGTGGAGATTGTTCCATGCTACTGATTTTCAATCTTTGATGTATCCCAACTTTATCATAAGCAAAATTCTTGGAATATTTCCATACAGAATTAAGGCGTCGTCTTTTGAAGCTTCTAAACCGCGTTATATTCTATGGACTATTATCTTCTGCGTAATCTGTGTATATGAGTTGACAATGTTGTATAAACTCAACCTCTCTGGAAAAGTCAGGATTGATGTACCTAGGATGATATATTTGAATTTCTACTTTTTATATGGATTATTCTTAGCGGTCATTTCTTATGCCTTGAGCGGTCCACGAATGCGTTTACTTCAGACTATATCAGATATTTCTCCGAGATTGCCCCAGAAGTCATATCGAAAACTATCCAAATTAATACACGCTAAGGACATTTTCGGTTTTTTCTTTCACTTTTGGCTAATGTTAACATTATACCTCTCATATTCCGAAAAGATGGTTTTCGGGTTACTCGAAATGTTCAGAGTTTTCATCAGCTTGTTGGGATTTCAAATGGATATGCTGTACATAAATTGCGTTTGTGTCTTAAAGGCCTATTTCAAGGAAATCAACGATAATCTGGAGAATCTGCGAAAGCTCATAATGCATAATATTCCTAGATGGATCTATCATCAGCAGAGACATCCATTCTTGCTGAACAAACTTAAGGCTCTGAAAAAACAGCATCTGATGATAAGTGACACAGTGAAGATGCTTAACACGATTTTCAGTCTGCATCTTCTGGCTACCATAGCGTTGTCCTTCAAACAGATAATATTCTACGTGTATTTCGATGTAATAAAATGGCAAAACGGGATATTCTTGAATCATGACAGGATTTATAATTCATATTTCATATCAATCATAATATATTACTTTACAAGATTTACATTAATAGTGTGGGCTTGCGAAACTGGCAAAAATGAAGCGATAAAAATTGGCACTATCATTCACGATATACTTAACAGCATCAGCGATGTACAAATCAAAGATGAGGTAGTAAAGAAGAATTTCACATTAGTTTAAAAGTTTTTTTACAAATATGTCGCGATCTTAATATATTAGATATAAAAATAATTTATATTTAACTAATTTAAACTTATCATTTTTATTGCACTATTTTCACATTTATTATCTTTTGATTTGTTCTTGCAGTTAAATTTGTTCGCCTTGCAAATATTGCATTGCAATAATAAATTCTCCGCGAAAGGTTTCACTGTAGATGCAACGTTGCTCACTGCGGTGAGTGATTAAAAATAATCCCTAATGAAGTATGCATTATTTATGTATTTTATGTTTTGCTTTCAGATGGTGAGTAGCGTTTCCACGTATCTATTAATCTTAATACAATTTTTGATCATAACGCATTCTTGCGACAGCAATACAGATGCAATTAATTATACACAAGCAATTTAATTATTATAAAGGCATTTGAGAATATTGAGAACTTTTGATCATTATGTGTTGAATATTTTATCGCTGTGAATATATTGTCGTTTTTATTCTTAAAAAATCATATATACGTCCTACCCATGAATGCCACAAAAAAATCATGTACTATGTGTAGGTAATAATAAATATGTGTAATAATAAATAAAATTTTAATAATTAACACTTTATTTGTTTAAATGTACCACACTAGTACGTAAATTAATAAAAATATGTTTCATATCAAATATACAATCACGAAACTTAACAGTTTAATTGTTCTTTCGTCAAAAATTGTATATGTCAAATAACTAATGTTAATGAATCATCAGCTAATTTATATCTTACATGTTTCTCGTCTCGATTAATTCGTAGAACTTTTTTATCAAATCAGCATTTATCGAAAATAGTACGAATAATTCTTAAGGTAAATTTAACGCTTAAAATTTATTTAAACAGTTCGTTAAATGCAAATTGCATATTTCTTATTCAAGTTTCAGTTATCAATATAGATTCAATTAAATTTGTATTGAGACACGATGGACGAATTATTGCAGTGATAAAGTTTAATGTTTAGTATCTTATTTTTTGTACATGAAAAACAAAAAACTCAACTAACTAAAAATTTCTCATTCATATACTTTTAAAGTACTTATTAATTTCACATCGATCAAAAGAATACATCAAGCAATTTAGATAGTCGTTAGATCAATTTTAATCTAGGAAATAGCACTCATAACGAAATTAGTGCTTCTAAAAATGCGCACAGCACAATTTGATAATATTGTGGCGATTATATTGTCATTATCCCAACTGAAAATTCATTTTTTAAATAAATAATTTTCATCATGAGAATATCGTATTCTCGGAATCGCGAGAGAATACACGCGAACATAGAAGACCTGCTCAGCTGTTCGAGGTTGAGAAAAAGGACAACACAGAGACATGCACGAGACGATTAAATCGACGAACGTAAGCGGTATAACATAAACGAAATCACATAATAATTAGCGACGTATTAAATTAAATTTATTAGAATTTATTATGTATTAAATAGTCCGACATTGCAGTCAAGTGCAATATCACACATGCTGTAAGCCGCCATAAAGAGAAATGAAATGCATCTCGCGTAGGCAAGGAAACTAAGCCGAAGGATCGCGTACATTTTAAATCTAGATTTCGAAGCCGTCTCGAACACCTGAAAAACAATAGTGTTTTTCTGATCGAGAGATCAAGCAAGTAATCGCGGGAAATAAGCGGCACTTCTCTACCGGCTTTTGTCGCAAGTAAAGTTGCTGTATAATCTGACGCACTCGTAATAAAGACGTTCATTCTTATCCAAACTTGGTTGTACAATATTTGATACCAACCACAACACAATCCGGACAACAATATTTCATCCAAAATATTTTAATGTCTAAAATTTATGTATAAATAAAATTCAAATCATCACAAAATTAGATATTATAATTTTCAATTGTCATAACAAATTATGATAGAAAAATGCATATGAATATATTTTTGAATAAATACATATGTATAAATGTTTTCATATTAAAAACTAAAATAAAAATTACATTGAAGATCAAGATTGTTAGATGTCAAAGTTGTTATTACATTAACCGATGAGGACTCCAAAAAGGTATCAATGTGTGGTAAAAATATCAAGTATTCCAATTAAATAGAATAATTTTTATTTTATGTAATATCGATGCTTTCAAGCATATTATTCTCAATTTAGATGTACTAAATGATAATTCATATGTTGGAAATTACTTCATTACATGCCTTTATATATTAAAAAGTCGTAAATAAACATCATAAGGTGTCGATGTTACTTCATAGCTAACAAATAATCTTTTAGTCACGACTTGCTACTCGACGTAGAAACTGTCTGCAGCTTTAAATTTAATTTAATTCAATCGCAGCACATAAACAGATAAGACTAGTCCCAATTCATGTATATTTGTGGTGGAAAGTTCGAAATTGAAGAAGTTTCTGGCTTGTATTAACGATAAAGTCCAAAAAAATGATAAAGTACTTAATAAATTTAAGCAGAAACCGTTTATATTAAAGTGTTGTTTCCTCATGACAATTTGTTAATTATATTTAACATGTCGTAGAAATTTCAAAGTCAAGTCAAAGGCCAAAACGAAAAGAGAAAGGTGGATGTTGTTCCATGCCATCGATTTTCAATCTTTGATGCATCCCAACTTTATCATAAGCAGAATTCTTGGAATATTTCCATACAGAATTAAGGCTTCGTCTTTTGAAACTTCGAAACCACGTTACATTCTATGGACTTTTATTCTCTGTATAATCTGTGTTTATGAGTTGACAATGTTGTATGAACTCAATTTCTCTGGAAAAATCAAGATTGATGTGCCTAGAATTATATCGTTGAATTTCTCCTTTTTATTAGGATTGTTTTCGTCGATCATCTCTTATTCCCTGATCGGTCCGCGAATGCGTTTACTTCAGACTATATCAGATATTTCTTCGAGATTGCCCCAGAAGTCATATCAACAACTATCCAAATTAATACACACTAAGGACATCTTCGGTTTTCTCTTTCATTTCTGGTTAGCGTTAATATCATATTCCTTATATTCTGAAATGATGGTTCTCGGTTTACTCGAAATGTTCAGGGTTTTCGTCATCTCGTTGGGATTTCAAATGGAAATGCTGTACATAAATTGCGTTTGTGTCTTAAAGGCCTGTTTCAAGGAAATCAACGATAATCTGGAGAATCTGGGAGAGATCGTGATAAATAATATTCCTAGATGGATCTATCATGAGCAGAGGCATCCGTTGCTGATAAAACTTAAGGCTTTGAAGAAACAGCATCTGACGATAAGTGACACAGTGAAGATGCTTAACATGATTTTCAGTCTGTATCTTCTGGCTACCATAGCGTTGTCCTTCAAGCAGATAATATTCTACGTGTATTTCAATGTAATACAATGGCAAAATGGGATATCTTTGAATCAAGATAGGATTTATAATGCATATTTCATATCAATCGTATTATATTACTTTACAAGATTTACATTAATAGTGTGGGCTTGCGAAACTGGCAAAAATGAAGCGATAAAAATTGGTACTACCATTCACGATATACATAACAGCACCAGCGATGTACAAATAAAAGATGAGGTAATAAAGAATTTCACATAAGTTAAAATTTTTTACAGATATGTCGCCTTCTTTATACATTAGATCTAAAACTAATTAATATTTAACTAATTTAAACTTATCATTTCTGTTATACTATTTTCACATTTATTATGTTTTAATTTGTTCTTGCAGTTAAATTTGTTCTCCTTGCAAATATTGCATTGCAATAATAAATTCTCCGCGATAGGTTTCACTATAGATGCAACGTTGCTTACTGCGGTGAGTTATTAAAAATAATCCCTCATTAAGTATGTATTATTTATGTATTTCATGTTTTGCTTTCAGATGGTGAGTAGCGTTTCCACGTATCTATTAATCTTAATACAATTTTTGATCATAACGCATTCTTGCGACAACTAGACAGATGTAATTAATTATACACAAGCAATTTAATTATTACAAAGGAGTTTGAGAATATTAAAAACTTTTAATCATTATATATTGAATATTTTATCGCTGTGAATATAATTGTCTAACGATTTTATTCTTAAAAAATCATATATATGTATGTCCTATCCATGCATGCCAAATAAAAATCTTGTACCATATATAATAATAATATGTATAATAAAAAATAAGATTTTGAAATTTTACTTGTTTAAATGTACCATACTAATATATAAATTAATAAAAATGTATTTCATGTTAAATATATAATGCAACTTATCAGTTAATGTGCTTTCATTAAAAAAAAAATATGTTAAATAGCTAATATTAATTAATCATCAGCTAATCTACATCTTATATGATTCTGATATTGATTAATTCTTAGAAACTTTTGTCAAATCAATTTTTATCAAAAATAGTTCGAATAACTTTTAAGGTAAATTTAACGCTTAAAATTTAAACAATTTATTAAATGCAATTTGCATATTTCTTATTCAAGTTTCAATTGTTAATATACATTGAATTAAATTTTCATTGAGAGATGATAGATGAATTATTACAATGGTAACGTTTAATGTTTAGTATCTTATTTCTTGTACACAAAAAACAAAAAATCAACTAGCTAAAAATTTCTCATTTATATATTTATAAAGTACTTATTAATTTCACATCGATCAAAGCAATACGTCAGGCAATTTAGAAATTTGTTACATTTTAATCTACGAAATAGCATCATCGAAATTAGTAATTCTTGAAATGCACACAGCACAATTTAATCATATCTTAATGTGTAAAATTTATGTACAAGTAACATTTATACCATTACAAAATTAGATATTGTAATTTTCAATTATCATTATCTACAAATTATGGTAGGAAAATGCATATGAATATATTATTAAATGTATATATATATTAATGTATTTATATTAAGAGAGAAAATAATACAGATCACATTAAAGATCAAGACTGTTAGCTATAAAAATTGTTATTACATTAATCGATGAAGATTCCAAAAAAATATCAATATTATGGAAAAAATATCAAGTATTCCAATTAAATAGAATAATTTTTATTTTATGTAATATCGATGCTTTCAGCATATTATTCCCAATTTAGATGTGCTAAGTGATAATCCGTACGTAAAAATTACTTTATTACATGTTTTTAAATTCTAAAAGATCATAAATAATAATCGTATAAGACGTCGATGTTACTTTGTAGCTGACAAATAACTTTTAGTCATGACTTACTACTCGACGCAGCAACTATCTGCAGCTTTAAATTTAATTTAACTCAATCGCAGAACATAAACAGATAAGACTAGTGCCAATTCATGTATAATTGTGGCGGAAAATTATAAGTTGAAGACTACACATAGAAGTTTCTGACTTGTATTAAAGTGCATAAAAAATGATAAAGTACTGAATAAATTTAAGCAGAAACTCTTACTAATATATTAAATAGTTGTTTTCTCACGATAATTTGTTAATTATATTTAATATGTCGTAGAAATTTCAAAGCCAAGTCAAGGACCAAAACGAAAAGAGAAAAGTGGATGTTGTTCTATGCCACCGATTTTCAATCTTTGATGTATCCCAACTTTATCATAAGCAAAATTCTCGGAATATTCCCATACAGAATTAAGGCTACGTCTTTTGAAATTTCTAAACCGCGTTATATTCTATGGACTATTATTTTCTGCGTAATCTGTGTTTATGAATTGACAATGTTATATAAACTCAATCTCTCTGAAAAAATCAGGATAGATGTAATTAAGATTATCTGGATGAACTTTTCCTATTTATATGGATTGTTTCTAGCGATCATCTCTTATGCTTTTAGCGGTCCGCGAATGCGTTTACTACAGACTGTATCAGATATTTCTTCGAAATTGCCCCAGAAATCATATCAAAAACTATCCAAATTAATACACGCTAAGGACGTTTTCGGTTCTTGCTTTCATTTTTGGCTAATGTTAACATTACATTTCTTAGATTCTGAAATTATGGTTTTCGGTTTACTGGAAACGTTCAGAGTTTTCATCAACTTTATAGCATTTCAAATGGATATGCTATACATAAATTGCGTTTGTGTCTTAAAGGCGTGTTTCAAGGAAATCAACGATAATCTAGAGAATTTGGGGGAGATCGTGATAAATAATATTCCTAGATGGATCTATCATGAGCAGAGGCATCCGTTGCTGATAAAACTTAAGGCTTTAAAGAAACAGCATCTGATGATATGTGACACAGTGAAGATGCTTAACATGATTTTCAGTCTGCATCTTCTGGCTACCATAGCGTTGTCCTTCAAGCAGATAATATTCTACGTGTATTTCAATGTAATACAATGGCAAAATGGGATATCCTTGAATCGAGACAGGATTCATAACGTATTTTTCATATCAGTATTAATATATTATTTCACAAGGTTAGCATTGATAGTGTGGGCTTGTGAAACCAGCAAAAATGAAGCGATAAAAATTGGCACTACCATTCACGATGTGCTTAACAGCATTAGCAACATACAAATCAAGGATGAGGTAGTAAAAAAGAATCTCACTTTGGTTTAAAAGTTTTTTACAAACATGTCGCGATTTTTATATATCAGATCGAAATAATTTATATTTAACTGGTTTATATTTATTATTTCTGTTTTATAATTTTCACATTTAATACCTTTTGATTTGTTGTTGCAGTTAAATTTATTCTCTCTGCAAATATTGCATTGCGATAATACATTTTCCGCGAAAGGTCTCACTATAGATGCAACGTTGATCACTATGGTGAGTGATTAAAAATAACCCCTAATTAAGTATGTATTATTTATGTATTTCATGTTTTGCTTTCAGATGGTGAGTAGCGTTTCCATGTATCTATTAATCTTAATACAATTTTTGATCATGGCGCATTCTTGCGACAGCAAGACAGATGCAATTAATTATACACAAGCAATTTAATTAATACAAATGCGTCTAAGAATTTTGAAAACTTTAGATCTTTATGTGTTGAATACTATATCGCTATGAGTGTAATTGTCCAACGTTTTTATTTTTGAAAAATAATATATACATCCTATCCATGTATATCAAATACAAATCTTGTTCCACGTATATTAATAAATAAGATTTTAAGACTTTATTTGTTGAAATGTACTACACTAACATACAAATTAATAAAATTGTGTTTCATATCAAATATATCATGCAATTTAAGTTTAATTGGCTTTTCATTAAAAATAAAATATGTTAAATAGCTAATATTAATGAATCATCGGCTAATTTATATCTTATATGTTTCTCGTTTGGATTAACTTTTATAATAGAACCTTTATGTCAAATCAATATTTGTAAAAAATTGTACGAATAACTTTTAGGGTAAATTTAATGCTCAAAATTGATTTGAACAGTTCGTGAAATGCAAATTGCATATTTTTTATTCAAGTTTTAGTGTTATCAATATAGATTTAATTAAATTTTTATTGAGAGATGATGGACAAATTATTGCAGTGGTAACGTTTAACTCTCAGTATCTTATTTTTTTGTATATGAAAAACAAAAAAAGTCACCTAATTAACAATAATTTCTCGTTCATGTATAACTTATAAAGTACTTGTTAATTTCAATTCGATCAAAAGAGTAAATCAAGCAAATAAGAATTATGATCCGATCGTACAAATGTACAATATATACATACGTTTAGAGAGCGCCAATGATCGCGGTGAAGTCCCAGGTTCGAAAGCTGGCTGACGTAATATTCTTCGCAAAAAGTTCTTTACCGAATTAATTTAGGGGGGATTATTTTTATATATAGGAATATCCGAATGTTTCGGCTCCTCAACATATTTATATTATTAGCGTCTCAGATCGATTGTGGTTAATGTCCGAATGTTTCGGTGCACAATCACATCTGAGATAATTAAAATTTAAAAATTAAGAATATATATTGTATTCGTAACATCTAACTTTTACCGATCATTGGCGTTATCTAAATGTATATAATACATCAAGCAATTTAGATATTAGTTAGATTAATTTTAATCTATGAAATAGCACTCCTTATAAAATTATAGTGTTTATTATATTCGTACAGTATAATTAAATAATATTTTAATGCGTCAAATTTATGTACAAATAAAATCCAAATCATTACAAAGTTAGATATTGTAATTTTCAAAGATTATTACAAATTATGGTAGGAAAATGCATATGAATATATTTTTGATTGGATATACATATAATATATATATATA